CTTGGAGAACCAGCAGATTGCCCTGATTTTTCTCTGAGAATATTAAGGCTCCTCTCACTTGGGTGTTGTGCAGTTCACCTGGCTCTTTACTTGCCTCTTCCATCCCCCATTGAACTGAGCTGAATGCCCTGCTCGCTAGGTTAGCAAGCCTATTTGGGAAGGCTCTCTTCCCCGTTTGTCAGATGAACCTCATCGGTCCTTCTTGGAACTTGCCTCCATATACGCTGCTCAAGAAAACATAAATCATGAGAAAACATTTTTATTAAATAAAATTTAAATATATTATAGTAGATGTCTGATTTTTAGTTTATGATTTGTTTTTATATAATTTGTTAAAATTATCTTTCTGAAAGATTTTATGTGTACGGCCCATGATAGCTCATCACAACTCAAATGGCCCCTTGGGTTTGGGGGATTTTTAGTCCTAGCTAACTGGAACAATAATTGCCCACCCTTGGGTTAGGGGGATGTTTGGTCCTAGCTAACTGAAACATTATTTGTCACAGAAATTAACTACAAGTTGTAGTAGCTGCTATTTCTGTCTGGAGTCTCAGTGACGTAGCAGTTTGCAAGGTAAAGCAGGAGGATGTGATACTCCTCAACTGTATCTGCCTCTCCTAGCCATCTACTAATTCTGCTATCTCAGTTTACCTCTAGGTCAAGAAGGTCTATACCAAATTTGCCTGATTCATTATTTTAAGCCCATTCTTGTATACTTTTCCACCAGACTAAGCATGTTCATATATGTGGAGAGGGGTGTTAGTTGGTTACTTATGTTTTTTAAACCATTTCTACCAGCAATAGATTCATAGTTCCCAAGGTATCCATAGTTCTGGGGCTCATAGTCTGATTGGTACGAACGGTTGCCTGTTTATGAATGTTGATTTTTCCTTTCTTTCTTTCACTGCATTTACAGGGAGCTTTGCAGTTTCTAGAAAACTATGGAAAAGAAGATATAACTATAGCAGACCTAGAAGGAAATTCAAACTCTTTGTGGACCATCAGCCCTCCCAGTAGAGAAAAAATGATAAAGGATCTCCGGGACTTTTCTGCTAAATTTGCTGTTGTTCTTTCATGGAGTATTCAGAGGTAAATTATCATGACCACAATGATCCTGGGAGATTATTTGTTTGTTAGTGTAGGCCTGGTGGGATAGTAAAAGTGTATGGCATTTCAGTCTTTGGCTTGCTTGTTTAATTTCCTATCCAATTTGCTCATTCTGTGAATGAGTAGCTAAAAGTAAGCAGAGGGGAGATTGGAAGGGACTGCTTTTTGTCATTTAACTGTAACCTCTCCTACCAACCGAAAACAGCATTAATAGATAATAAATTTTAAAGGCAAGCTTACCCTAGATCTCCTCAGTCAGAAAACTGGCGAAGCACCTCCAAGGTGCAAAAGAAGAATTAAAATATAGAGACCTTCCAAAGTTCAACATGAGCAAGTTCAGTAAGTACCTGGAGAAAGTGGGGGGAAGGGAGAAATAAGTCTGAAAATAGGTCTGAGCTTTTCTACCCACAAAATAAATTTATCATGCTTGTTGTATAATGAATTCTATTGTGCAGCCTGTTTAAAGGACATGGCTTCACTTGTGACTTGGTTGACTTGGCTGCCTTGACCTCTAAGGATGCCTGTACACACCATGGGGGTTTAATTCGGTTTAGTTCTCCCTAATTTGAAACAATGGGTTTTTAAAAACACCACTTCAATTCAAACCAAACTAAAACCCACAAGGGTGGGGGCCCGATCCTTACTTGTCTTTCTGGCAGCGGGACGGGATGAGCTGCCGGCAGGCTGAGTGGTCCCCGAGCTGGGGGGGGCAGTGCTTCCCTCCACGGCAGTGGCAGTGCCCCCCAGGCAGCACCCACCTGCTGGTACCTGTTCCGAGAAGTCCTGGGGGCTCCACAGGTGTGGAGGGAAGCAACAGTCCCCTGCAGCCTTAGAGGGAAGCACTGGACCCCACACAGGCAGGCTCCAGGGAGGAAAAAAGAAGATCAAGCTCACCGCTTTTTTCTTCTCTTTAGTGGAGGCTGCCTGCACAGGCTGCCACCGGGTGGCGCAGCCCCTGAGCTGCACAGGGCCTGGTGCTTCCTTCCGCAGCTAGGAAGCACCAGGGTAGCAAACTAAAACACCTCGGAGGTGTTTTATCTTGCTGCATACCAAAATCATTTAAAGTGCAATACATTGCTGAGAGCGTAAACAGCAATGCCATTAAAGCATTAAGTGCCAAGAGTGTAAGCAGTGACACCATTAAAGCGGTGCAAAAGGGCATTTAGGCCACTTTAAAAGCTAATTTTGTAGTATGTACAAAGGCCCTAAGTGCCAAACTTAAGATGGTTTGAAGGGGACTGATGTTTAAACACTACTCAGCATCTGTAAATAAAGTTGCCTAAATATGTTCTCAATGGGAATCGAGAGAGTGATAAATACGAGTTTTTTAAAATTGAGGTTGAAGCTTTCAGATGGGCTTAAGAGAGAAAAAATTATGTACAACTGATAGACTAATAATACCTTCTGAAGACAGCATTCTCATTAATATGTATTCGAATTAAAGGCCTTGAAGGAGAAAACCTCTAAAAAGTAATTAGTCCTCTAACAGAGGTTTTACAACCTCATGATGCAGTCCGTCCTTCTCTCTGTAAACAATTTAGTAGTAAAGCACAAGATGCTACACAGTTTTTTGTTAGATGCTTGCACATTGAGAGCCACCCTGAAGTAAACGGGTACTGCTCCCAATCATTATCTTGTGGCTTGTGTCCATGTACACTAGGGCTAATACATTTGGTCTCTGCATGCAGTTTTCTCTGCTAAGCTTTGCTGAGGGTTGGGAGTCTTTTGTGAGTGCTGTGCTTCAAAATACACAGATCTGTGCAACAGAATATTCTGTTATTTTCTAAACCCAAACTGGGACCTGGGACTTCTATGGACCAAATCGAAAGCTAACCCAGCAGTGTTGTGAATAGCAGAAGTGTTGCAGTGGCATGCCTACTGGCTACTTAAGGAATATGCCCTTCATAGTAACATCAAGTCCCAATGTGTGCAGGTCTTATAGATGGACATAACAGTGTCCATCTTTTTGCAGCTACTGTAATGAGAGTCATGTACATAAGTCAAAAGCAAAAATAGAACTCGAAGTATGTCAGCATCTTCAATATAGGTGTGCGGGTTTGTTTAAACCCTTCATTTTTTTAAACCCTTCATATTTTAGTGGAATTATGATTGTCTTTTAGGTAGGCCTGCAATTCATTTTTAACACTTTTGTGCTAATCGTGCAGCCATGGTCAGGAGTAGTAGGTTTGCAATATTCAAGTATTAAACTATGAACTACTGTTGGCAAGCCCCTTGTGTATCAAATGCAAATATGCAGCTTGCTAAAACAGGAGGTTCATTTTTGAGTGGTCTGACATTGTGCCTCAGTTCCTGAATGCTAAACTTGAGACACCTCAAATAAACAAGGAGTTTTGAAAATGTAGATAGGGGTCTAAGTGGGGAAAATCCTAGCCTTAGGTTTTAAAGATAAAGTTGTTCATTTATCAGATTAATAGTACCTGTTTCAGACAATGTCTTCATTAATATGTGCCTTTAAAACATGGAAAGCCATCATCTATTAGGAGAGGGCAGTGTCAGACCACTACAAGTAACCCTAGGTAAGCATGCTGGTCAGTGAGTCAGGCACCTTGACAAGATAGAATAGCAAGGACAGAAAATGTGCAAGTGGATTTGCTAACCAATTTCTGGGTCAGCACAATGAAGAAAAGCCTATATTGTTTTGTGCTCAGATTCGTTATGTCTTCTTTTTTACCTTAGAAACCTCAGTCTTGGTGCAAAATCAGAAATAGCATCAGATAAGCTGTCCATTTATTTGCCAGAGGCAACCAGAGAAAAAATTGCCGCCATGATGTCTCGAGAGTTAGTAGAAAATGTGTAAGTAATTTTCTTCATTTAATTATGCAACCATTTCAACTGGTTCATGTAACATCATACATGAATACTCTATGTGTGAACATTAATAACTATTAAACAGAATAGTCTGGAATGTATCTTCTGCCATCCCTAAACCAATGACAGTTTATGCCAGGAAGAGCATGACAGGGAATGAACTATACTATGCATGCCTCGTACATATATTCTCTCACTAAAGTATCTGCTAATGGCACTGTGAGAGACTGAATGACCCATTGGTCTGACCCAGTGTGGCACTTTGCATGTTCTTAATATATATTCTTCTAAAAGTGAAGCTTATTAAACAGGTTTTGCTAAATCTGTGCAAAGTAAATGTACACTATTGGCTCGAGCAAGCACATTAGCTAAAGCTCTGAGGAAAGGCCATTGCTGCAAAGGATCTGTGACAATAGTTGTGCTGCACAGGCATGTTTATGGATGGTCCATCTGTCCCCTCTGGCAACTCTGTTTCCCTGACAGGAGGGATTGGTAGAGTCTTCTGCTGAAAATTCCTTGCAGTTTCCCAAAAGTCAAAAACAGCCAGGCTGTACATCAATAAGCTTTTCTCAAAGGTAAATTAGTTTGGAACAGACTCGCATTCTTTGACTGGGTCAGAATGTTTCACAGGCTACTGCCGTGACCTGTTAAACTACCACCTAGTTCCTTTCTCAGTGACTGGTAGGAGGTAAATTCAGAAGATTAGCAACAGCAGTCAGACTCTCTTCCAAGTTGCAGCTCAGTCAATTTTGGTGTGGTTGGATAGGTATAACTTGGAGGTGAATCTCATGCTAAGTGCCCACCTGGGTTAGATTTCTCATTGGTTACTAGCATTAAAGAAAAATAGTAAAGGAAAATTGGTCTGAGGTAGGCAGCATCTGTAGTAGTTTTGCCTTTTGTGTTTTTTCTGGCAATGAGAATTCACAGGGTGGTCAAGAAGTTCCCTCCATGTGAATACCAAAGAGTATTGCATAAGCAAAATTGTGGCATAAAGTAACTATAGTCCACAGGCCTAACAAAACAGGATTTTGAGTGGGAAGCAACCTCATTCCATCTCCAAACATCTTTAGAAGTTAACCTTCATTGTTGGACAGAAGTAGGATATAGCTTTTCCAAATACAGAGACGTATACATATATGCTGCAAAGACATGTGGCTGCATATAGGGTTCTGTGGGTTTTAATTTAAAATGTTATTTTCTTGTTTTTTTAAATAAAATCTCTTCCTGCTCTCATGGTATGAAGTGTTTCTCAAGAGAGGTATAGAGTTCAAGTTGATAATTGACCCAGTTCGTGACCACATAGCTGCTTCAGCAAGTAAGCTTATGCTACCTGTTGGCAAAGCTGTTTAGCTGCTCAGAATATTATGTTTAGGTGGCTGGATTCTGATCTTCTCAACATTGGTATGAACTGGAAGTAGAATACAGTTATGTACTGGAGAATGCTCTTGATTTCTCTAAGCCACCACCCCCTTTAAACAGGACAAGATGGGGTAATTCTTTTGTCTCTGATAAAACTAAACTGTTTCTGGATACTGCAAAGCCATTTTCCAGCTTGCATGACTTTTCCCAAATGTACAGGAAAGTACTTCTTCAGCAGTTAGCTGAGATTGGAAAGGCTCAGATCATGCAAAAAGATTTCCAAAAACAATCCCAGAGAAAATCCTCACTTTCTGAATACCGTTCTGTTCTCAAGCATAAGCATTTCCATCAAATGTATTTTGCAGTGTTTTCCTTTGAAAGGAAAAAAAAAAGAATAGATTTGAATGCCAGTCCATCTTATCTGTGAGCTTACATACATCAGCCTGCAGGGACTTTCCGGAGAGAGAGTTCCTTGTGAAAATACAGGTAGAAGGTCAAAAATCAAACTGTCAAAGACACTGGAAAGATGCCAGTCCAAACGTATGCAAGATCAGCATCTAACCCAAGAAACACAGCAGTTACAGTAATTGCCTTTTCAGAGTGGAATTATGTGCTACAACTCCCCCAAGGAAGATTTCCAAGTGAAAGCCCTTAGGTATAACAAGATAAAGTTATGGGTTTTTGCATGTTTCCTGCAGGACCTTAGAAGACGTATATCCATACTACATCAAGGCACCTAGTGATTCTTTGGCAAAACCCATAAAGCAGCTACTGAAAGGTATGTAGACCAACTGGTGTATCTCTCTTACTAGCATGGCATATTTTTCCCATTGTTAAAGCACATGAGGAAGTTTACCAAATGGCAAGACTCTGCCAAGGAAGCCAGAACCACTCCCAATTATGACATATCCATTGTGTCAATACAGAGAAGACACTGCACTCTAGCACTGGATTGTTATGAGTATTAGGTCATGCTTCAGACAATGACTAACTCGCAAAGTTTTGCCCTGTCATTGGAGCTTCTAAGTGGACAATAATCCACAGCATTAGCACAGAGTTAAAGGCTGGCTAGCAGCAGTATCTACCCTTCTGAAGCAATGAGCATCCCTTCACCTAACTCCTTAGTTCTTGGTATTCAGAAATCCAAGTATGGCCCACCTCCAGCCTGCAACCTTAAGCACGTCCTCTGGGCAATGCCCCAAGCAGATATCCTAGCATTCTGTTCCTGCCAGACGATGCAGAACAGTGTAGGGACAAGGTACAGGGACTCGGGCAGAGAAACTATCAGACCATGTTCTTGCTAGGGGAAAAATAGAGTGTAGAGCAAATGCAATGAATGCCTGCAGGTTTTACTTGGTCTGTGCTCAGCCCCATCACCTTTTCTCCACAAACTGCACCAGAATGGCCACATACTACCACTCTGTGGCCCGTAGCCTAAGGATTCCATCAGATTGTCCCCTACCAATCTCTTGGTCATGTAGCACACTCTCAAGTGTACTGTCAGAATAGTGCTAAAATTCAGTCTGCCAAGAACCAACTCATTTGCCCCTTCAGTGGCAAATGTCCACATAACTGTGCATGGGAATGACGCTTTGTGTAGAAGCAAATGAATCCTTCTGCATACCATGGCATAAGCTGTGGCTGCCTGTTGCAGCTCTGGCTCCAGTTAATCCTGCATTGCCCAGTGCTGTTAAAGGCAGGTGGAGTGCATGTAGAGAATGAGGCAATATCAGCCTATGGAGCACAGCACACCCAAAAAGCAGAAGATCTGGGGTCTGATTCCTCCCTCGCCTAAAACCTGTATCCTCTGCTTTCCAAAAAGATGCTGTAACTGGGAGTCTTTTTTCCCAGACCCTTCTCCATTCCTCCTCTTGAACTAGCCTGTTGGGCAATTCTTAGGGGCCATGAGGAGGAAAGTATGCAGCTCACTGGTTTGCAGCTCAGTGAGAGGTGGACCTTAGCTTCCAGCCTGAGCCTCTGCTTCCAGTGGGATAGAAACTTAGCTTTCCCAAGTGCTGTTCATCCATTTCATCCCATGATATGCCAGGCACAAGAGGGCCAGCATGAGGAGAAAAGCTGGACAGTGGACTGAGCAATGCCTAGTCTACAGCCTGGTGGTAAGAGCACCCTGCTAAAAGGCAGGAAATGCAAGTTCAAAGTGAAGGAGACCTAGAGCATTGCTCCCTTCTCAAGTGCCCTACCATCTTATCTATTGGCCAAAGAAGTGAGAGGGCCCTTTTCCATCATGTCCACACAGTGAAATAGCATTCCAGTTTGTGCATAAGTTTCAAAACATAGTTATGCAACCACAAGCACACATTTTGCTTTATGTAGGTACATATAGCAAAATAAGATTTAGCCAGAAGCTGCCTTGACAGAAAAAAGTCCAGAACTGTTTGATAGAACCTTCTTAAAATGGATTCCAGGACTATTTAGTTTCATTTAATGGATGGTAGGGGGATGGTTAGGAAGGCCAAGGCAGAGATGGAACAGGGGCTGGCTTCCCGGATTAAGGACAACAAGAAGTCCTTTTTTAAATACATAGGGAGTAGAAAGAAGGCCCCAGGAAATGTGGGGCCCTTGCAGGACAAGATGGGGAATCTGGTTGTCACGCCAGATGACAAAGCCAACATATTTAATAACTTCTTTGCCTCTGTCTTCCTCAGTAAGGACCAGAACTGCCACCTCCCTGCTGGGCCCCCTT